TTTATCAGGGATCGGACGGCAGTCATCGTCCTGGCCAGCAAGGTGAGATTAACAATCCCAGGCCGAACTCCTTTTGTACTGAAGTGAAGAGGCAAACTGAACGCCAAACTACCCCAAGAAAGAACTTGAAACATCGAGGACTTGGGCAAAGAGTGAGCAACAACCCCACTTAACCCCGTCAGCCGAATTGAGAAGAATATGATGCAGCCCCCGCTCCTGCGAGGTGACCTGGGGCCTCATGCCCTGAGACACTCGTAATCCCAAGCATTCCCAGATTGAAACGAAAGCCATAATCCTGGCAAAGTGATGAAATTGACAATCCCATCCAAGCCCGTTTTGAACTGAAGTGAAGGGCCAAACTAAGAGCGAAGCAATCCCAAGTTAAGAAATGTCCCATCTAGGCTGTGGGCAAAGCAAGAAACGACTCCACTACTTTGGCCCTGACGGACATATTGATGAGAGCAGAACTTAATTCATGCCTCGGAGAAAAAGCCTGAGGTCCCCGATTGAACCAGAGTTGAACCAAGAAGAGAACTGAGGACCCAAAGGGAAGGAAGAATTTATTCGTATCTTCTGAACTGCCTCGGTCACATCAAGAAACGGGGTTTGCAAAGCAGGTGGCACCTAACATTGGCACCGTTATTGCCAGACTCCACCGTTATAAGATCTCCAACATCTTCATACATGTCCTTGACGTAGAGGAGTGCCACAATACAGCTGCCAGCGAAGATCTGAGATTTGTCGTGTAGCCTCTCCTTCTTAGGGCAGACCTCAGGACCAATGAACGCTTCTTTGGTATAAAACCGCGCGTTAAACAAGTGAATGTCCTTGGAACGAAACGCGTTGAGCCCAAAGTGCCAGAGAATCTTCGTGACGTCCCTGGTAGTGAGATAGCCGCGCTCTCCCAAAACCGGGATACTGTCTGAAATCAGTGGACCTTGATTGTCGATAATGAAAGGTGTAAGCTCACGAACTGTGATGATTTGGAAGTCTTCCCCGACCCTGGCCTTGAAGGTGTTCAAACCTGTCAGCTGGGGAACGAAAACCATAATGTAGCGCCTTGAGCTGGTATGGTCTGTGCCGCCCTTTGGGGCGAAAATTGGGCATCCAGAATGATCGTACTCCAACTGGGACTTCAGCACTGGAGGGCCTAGCTTGCTAATCCAGGGCTTCTTATCCTGTTCCCAACTCTTTGGAGCAGGCTGCGACTTTCGGTCAGGCGAGTCGACTTCCGCTTCAGAGCCAGAGGAGGAACTCCTGGATTCTGGTGATCCCGAAGACGGTACTTCCCAAGTAGTGCCGCCCACCGGTTTGACAGGTGTTTCCCCACGGTAGTCCTGCGTCTCTGGTAAGGCATCATCCGAATCGGGCTTCGACCCCGACCCGCCGCCCTGCGGTTGTTTCTTGAACCCAACTGAGTACTGCATCTTCCTGGCAATCGGCGAGCGGCTCCGAGAGGCAGAGTCTCCCCTGTGCACAGGTGCTGGGGGCGGCGCGGGGAGTATCCTTGCTTCGCGAGGGTCAGCACTGGAGGAAGCTTTGGCTTTGAGACCCTGATTCTTGAACTCGACTGACCTTGCTTGGTCCTCCTTTTTCTGTTCGAGCTTCTTCTGCAACTTGGCTTTCTTCTCATTCGAGGTAAGAATGGGCTTCGTTTCCATCTTGGCCAGACGCTTCCGAGCCCAACGATCTAAGGCGTGGCGGTCGAAGCCAAAGAAAAGGGGGATAGTCGGCTGAATCTGATTCCCAGTCCAATCCAGATCCTGAGAGTAACAGGTGTCCGTGGTGAAAGTAAAAGGAGGCCCCGCTGGGCGCAGTACAATAGCAAATGTGTGTCTGGATGCACCAGACAGAGCCGATGGCTACTGAAGGCGAAGGTGAAGCGGTTGCCGAACCCAATCGAGCATTTCTTTAGCGAGGCCCAAACGAAACTTTTTGTCCCGAGAGCCCTGTGGGGAGAATAAGGTGGTCCAGGCATCCTTGTCATACCTGAAAACGTACCCCCTATGCGAGCGAGAGTGGGTACGGCTGCCACCGAAGTGGTCAAAGGAGCGATTCTGAATGACCCAATGCTTGCAATATTGAAACAGCCTCGACGAAAAATCTTCTGGATGTCTTTGCATGTGTGAAACCCAACTAATAGCAGAGTCCAAATGGAAAATAGCCCATGAGACTTCTTTGAACCCCTTGGTTTTGCGATTTCTGCGTAAACTGAATTGTTCGGGAGATTCCCCTGGGAGCCTTCTGAGTTTCAACATGATCCTGATACATTGATTCTGGGCCTTGGTAATCAAATCCGCCGTCGTCTTACAAGGGACCCAGGCAGCACCTCTGGATCGTATAATCCCTCCCGCCATGCAGTTAAGTTTAGAGAGGCGTTTAGACATGGGGATATGCTCATTGATCAAGAACCTACTGTTAGCCCAAAAGGCTTTGTTGATCTGTGAAATACCCTGCTTGACATCTTCGTGACAGGAACCAGTGGCGGAGAGAATTGGGCCCAGCACCTTGGCCTCCGGCACTACAGACCAAGTTTTCCCAAAGGGGTCAGACCACTTGTATCCTTGAAAGAAGTAGGGGTATGCCGGAAGGATTTCCCGATCGTCTTTGAGTTTGAGCCGATGTTCATTCCATAGCTCCGACTCTACCAGGGCGGTCAGAGTTGCAAGGTCTTGTTCCGAGGAAGCCACCACGAAGATATTGTCTGACCAGCTGAGAAGAGCAATCCTGAAATCAAAGCCCAACTGCTCGCTGCGGATGGAGATTCCCAAAGAAGAATGGGTGATTTTCTCCAGGGTGGAGGCGAAACAATCTTCTACGGAAGCGCGCGCCAGTATGCATGCCGTCCCAGCTCCTTGCATCAACCCACGGTCTCTTCGGATAATCCCAGTGTTTGAGTCCAAAAGTGAAATGGAAACTCGAGGGTTCCTGTGCAACCTGATGCAGCCCACCGCTAAGAAAAGAGGGACTCCCCGTCCCAATAAACTCCGTAGAACCAATCCATAACGAATCTGATCATGGTGAGCTTTGATATCAGTAATCCCAACCATTCCTTTGTTGAAGTGATCTCGGCCATATTCTAAAATGTGGTAGACACTCGTGTGAAGTTCTTGTAATTGTCCACCTTTGCTGAGCCCAAAAATCAGGCCCTTGAGACCTTTAGAATCAGTGTATGAATCCAGAACTGGCAAAATGGCCCTCGCCACATATGCGTGCCCAATCTTGGCAATAGCAGGCTGAGGAATAACAACTCTAGTTGGAGAAGGGGTTCCAAAACCCTTGATCTTGTTACCCAGGTGGCCCCCGAATGTGACGTCGTTCCAAAATTCGGGGTTGCCTAAGCAGGCTTGTATACACCCCGTGAGCCTTTGGGACCAGCCCGAAACTTTTATAACAGCCGTGCAGGCAAACTCTGTGTCGATCTTTCGGGGGGCCTTGATGTCGTCCAGCGCGTCCTCTAGCAAGGAGAAGATGATGGGGTCGTCGTAGAAATTGAAGAAACCCAAAGAGCGGAGCCAGGCGATGTCCTCCTGACGCTCCGAATCTGAGAGTCCCCACCTCTCGCTGTATTCTTCAGCAACCAGTGAGGTACAGCGGTCCACTTCAAAAATCTTGACTTGATCTACACAGAAACCTAAAATGGGTAGGAGAGACTTGCGGGAGGCCCAGACTCGTTTTCCTTGAGAGGCGTTGAGCGCAACCTGAGCCAATTCACGTTGAAGTTTCGTTATCTTAAGAGCTTTCAAGAGGAGCTGACCCAAGGCGACCCTCGTGGCTTCGTTAAGTTCGGAGTTGAACCGTGTCCTGAGACTCTTGATCCAAAATGGCTCTTCGGCAAATCTCCTAAAACTCCTTGGGAGAGCCTGAGTCGCTTCATAAACCTGTCCCAACATGTTTTCCCAGAAATCGAAGGAGAGGGTGAGGTCCCTTGGATCGTGATACCTTACCGCACATGAATCAGGCTGTTCTTCGTCATTTAGACGAATAAGTTCCGCTGATTCGGGAAACAGGCCCTGGGCGATCTTCCTGACCTCCAAAATGTTAGTAGGAGTCCAAAGGAGGGGTCTTCTCTTACGAGCCTGCTGGGGAAAGGCCAGGACATCACAGCCAATAAGGGCATGGTCCCCAGGGACGCCCGCCCAGCAGGCGAAACAGTCAAAAGATAGATCACCCCTGGCGAGAGCAATGTGATCGATCGTGCTGTTGGCTTGAGAGAGCGCCTGCTCACCATCGGGCTTCCTAGTGAATTGCATGGAAGTCTCTTGGAACCTGAGAGGGCACCAATGGAGATCGAGGTAGGAACAGGCTTCGCAGAACGATCGGAATTTTTTGGCCGACGAAGGAGAAGACGATGGCGGGAGGGGGGGGGGGGGGGGAAGGGGGAGGGGGGGGGGGAAGGTGGAGAGGCGAGGCAGCTTTCTCGTGCTTGCGAGATTCCCGTCGCGCAAGACGGAGCCGGCGGGAAAAAAAAACGCCATGTCGCGTTTTAAAAAAAAAAAAAAAATAAAAATAGAATAAAAAAAAAAAAAAAAAAAAAAAAAAAAAAAAAAAAAAAAAAAAAAAAAAAACCCGCGGGCCCGCGCTGGCTGCCCCCGGGCCCCCCCCCCCACAGCCGTGCTTGGGCAAGCTTGCCCCAGAGCAGCCTTGCCCGAATCTACCCCCGGAGCTCAGCCGAGGCCCCGCTAGAATTCAGATTGTTCAGGTTCTAAAAAAGCCTCTATTGCTAAAACATTCAGATCAGCTTCGGAAGCCGAAGCACCTGGAAAAAACTCTTAATTCTGGGTGCCAGATCTGGCCCCGCCCATCTCGAGCCAGACGGGGCGCCAGCCGACGGCCGCTCAGCCGACCTTGAACCAGGACTTCAAAACTGACTGGCGAGCCTGGCCCCCCTTGAACTCAGCGGCAATGCCCTGGCAGAGCTGTGCTGCAGTCTCGACGTCCTTACCAATGCGCGGCCCGCCCGAGATGAACTTCTTCTCGAGTTATGTGATATTCTTCTCCAGCGCGGTGCCATTGCTCAGGGCGGCGCCCAGCTCCGTCTCGAAGAGGCAACCCTCGGTCGCGCCATGCGTCTTCGACATCGAGACCGTGGCATCGAAGCCCCTCCTCTGCCGATCCCACGTGGCATGGGTCTTCCTGAGGTGCGGCACCGTGGCCTTGTCCTTCTCGCTCGGCGGGGGCGCGCCCTGGCCGCTCTTTGGCTGGGCTGCGGGCTGCCCGTCCGCGGCAGCGCGCCTGGCGGGTTGGCGCGCCCGCGATTTGGCCTCGTGAAAGTTGGTATCGAAGCTCGAGGCTGCCTCTTCCCCTGCTTCGCATTGCTGAAGGCTGGTCCCATCGACGACCCTGCGTTCCTCGGCCAGCTTTCAACATCGTAAGATGCCTGCTGCCATTTCGGCCACGGCGTCGCTGTGTCTTTTGGCCATTTCGGATTGGGCCTGCACGCCGCCGCCCCTGCGTGGACCATCTCAAGCAGCGCATCCTTGCCTTCCTTCCCAGGAGCCTCTGGCCAGGGCATCCAGGACCCCCCCCCTTCCGTAGTCTCGCCGGCGACGTGCTTGCATCTCTTGATGAAATCATCGGGCACAGCGCCCTTGCTGCGCTCAAGCACAACGCCCATGAACTCACCGAGCGGGATCTCGGACTTGCCCTTCTTCGCGAGCTTGCGCTAGTCCTTGAAGACCCCCATTGCACCCGCCAGCTTGTACCACCCCACTCGGGTGACGGACTACATTGGCGAGTTCAATGGAGGCCCCTTGGGCGTTCCTGCACTTGTGGCGGCAGCGCATTCAGCCTGTAGTTCAAGGCATTGAACTTTTCTTGTCGGCGGACACCGCGCCTGCGGTCCGATCGCAGGGCGCGGGAGGGGGGGGGGCGTCGGGGGGCGGCTCTTCGCGCGCCTCGAAATGACATCGGGCACCTCTGGTTTTGCGAGCACCTGTCCAACAGCAGCTGCAGGTGCAAGCGCCGGGTGGCCCTCGGCCATCTCTTCCTTGACAGGCGGGGCCAAGGCCGCCTTCCCGAATAAGCATTTGATTCCCGTGTGCCCGTCAACTCCCACCGTGGCCTCGGCGCTGGGCATTCCGAACAGCGTGCTTCTGCCTGTCCAAAGCCGTGGGGCTGCATGAGTTGGGCCACAGCGCTTCGCGCCGCGCGCGATTGCTTCGGGGCGCGCGAAACAAATCAGGAACAACCGTCGGTTTCAACTCGCCGAGAGGGGGTGCTCAGATAACCGATGGTCCGTGAACGCAAAAAGGTCGCATGCGCGGATCGGCCTCAGGGGCCGCGCGGGCACCTTCGACGCTTGCATCTCGGGCAACAAGGGTCACCAATCAGCCTGGGGAACAGGGAGTTTTCTGGGGGCTCGAAAGGAAGAGGTGGAGGGGGGGAGAATGTGTTCAGTGGACTTGGAAGGTGGAAGAAGACGACGGAGGATGAGGCGTTCAAGTGGCTTGAAGTGTCGACGATGGGGGAGGGGCCCGGCGCGTGCCATTGCAGACCAAAAAATAGAAGCACATGGCGCTATACAGCCAGGCCATTTGCTATCCTACGCCCTCGACAGCTTCAGCTCCGGGAGTCCGCTGAGTTGCTGCATCCGGCTGGCATTGGGAGTCGCTGCGTCCCCCCCCCC